CTCGTCCCTATTTGAATAGATACTTATTGTTTGTAGTATTTAAAAGATTTGCATAATTAGCGACAAGTTTGTTTTTAATAGTTTTCACTAATTGCTTGCCTTACAACACGACTGTAGAGATACAGAAATCTTTATGGAATAGCAATAATAATTAACATACTTATAACATTTTTAGTAGTACATTTTTCAATTTGCTTTTCTGTTACGTCCTTAAATAAATATCTTTTAGTTTACTTTATTAATTAAAAAAATAATATGTTTGTGTATATGAATGAAATTTTATTATAATCTACAAGTCTACTACATTTTTATTTATAATCACAAACAGATGTACAATAAGTTAGTATAAAAGCGTCTATAACATTGTAAACTCATAAATTAGTTCTGTTATAGCTTCTCCTCAATTACAATAATTTAATTTTACCTTTAATTTAATTTAATATAATTTAAAGCAGTCGAATTCGCGAAATATAATAAATTGAAATCTGTCAGACGTCCTTAATAAAGAGATCACCACTCAATGGTCCTTACGGAAGGTCAAATAAATAATTGGCCGAAACACCGAGGAGTTTGGTTAACCATAACAATGCCTCGAGCGGAAATGAGTTCAATGTGAAGGCGTCCGTTGCTGGTACCGATTCTGGGCCGCAATGGGTTGCATCAGTACTTGACAAGGGACAGGTTGTTGAACAGTTGAATAAAGTCGATTTGTACCAGGCATTACAGGTCTTAAAAGTACCAGTTGTTGAGGAGAAATCGTTCGGATAATTTTAAATTGAGGAGAAATTTGCTGGACTCCAGATTGAGATAGAGCGGGATGGTAAAATTGTTGATAATTGGGAGCGTAGATATGGGATGGTGTTCGGAGAGGACGTAGGGTAGTTGACGGTACCATGGGAGGTTGCTGGGTCGTTGGAGGTTGTTGGGTAGTCGGTGGCTTAGTTGTTGTCACCCGGTGCGGTGTTTGCGAAGTTCCCGGAATTTGTTGAGGAGTTATTGTTGGTGCTTGAGGAATTTGTTGAAGGATTATCGGCGACAGACTATTAGCAGGATAAATAAGAGGACGTGATTGAGGAAGTAGCAAAGTTAGGGGCGGTAAACCGTCGTCATCGTCATTTGTGGGTAAAGAGGTTGAATCTTGTTGCACCTCTGATTTGTTTTCCGGTAAAACGTACACAGGATCTTCAACTGTTTGGGCTTGTTGCAATAAAAATGTTCCCGTAACCTGATAATTAGGTCCCTGATTCTGCTGTGGTTGAGTCTGCTGAACGGGTTGTTGAACAACTGTTTGCTGCTGGACAGGCTGTTGTTGGACAGTTTGAACAGGCTGTTGTTGGACAGTTTGAACAGGCTGTTGTTGTTGGACAGTTTGAACAGGCTGCTGTACAACCACTTGCTGCTGTTGGGGCTGTTCAACCACTTGGGGTTGTTGCACCACCTGCGGCTGTTGCACCACTTGGGGTTGCTGCTGAATTATTTCCTGGCCCAATACATTCACCAAACAGTGGATTATCAACAAGGGTATTAACGAAAACTGCTAAAAGAATAGGTCAGACATTATCTACTTGATGTTTTGGACGAGTTAAAAATTATTTTGTGGTTTCAAAAAAAATTCATAAGCATGACTTATGGAAGATTACTTACCATTATTGCTTATTATTATTATAATTACTAAAGTTAAATTTTACTCTTTAACTTATGTTTGAGTTATACAGAATGATAATTTATTGAATGGCTAATTTTTTCACATGTAGTTCAATTTATGTAGAAGCAAATCATAGAAATTAAAGGGAGGGGAAAAACCGCGATTTACTTCTAAGTCTAATTAATAACGGTGTCCAAATAATTAAGAGGTAGAGACTGCGTCAATGAATTTGGTATTGTCTTGTTTCAACAGTCTATTTACTATACGTGCTACATAGTGCGTTTAGATTGTTTACTTATAATTTTTTTGTGGACTTTCTTCGTCATTTCTTCAAAATCAAAAGTGATTATTTCATCATCCCCTGAAATTTTATTTAGTCGTCGTGTTGTAAAAATAAAATTTTAATAAATCGCAGTTATTTATTTGTAACCAAATTTTCTTGATCTTGATTTCTTGTTATTGTTGTTTATTTCATTCGTAACTCAGATTCAACAAGAAAAGGAATTACAAGAAGGTGGAAGGTTGTGTATTTAATTTATTGTGNTTTTTTATACGTACGAAAGACGTAAATAAATAAATCGTCATAATAATTTGGTATATTCAAGAAGTTTTGATAAAATATTATACTTTAGTGAAATATGTTTGTTTTGCTTTTGTTTGATAACTGTACCATCTTGTTTGTTCTAAATAATGCCAGTTGTTTGCCATTTTGTTTTGCAATAGTGGGTATATGGAAAATGCAATAATAACATGTATATAATATGGTTTAGTTAATTTTTATTTATTTTACTACTTTTGATACAAGTTTACAATTTTTATTACACATTTTTATCTTTACTACTTAAATTTCACATTAACATCTTTACATCACAAGTAGGTTCTGGAGCCTTTCTCCACCATTGTCCATTTCAAATTTCGTTAAGAGGGTGGTTCACGTTTTACAATGTTCCAATTATTTCTTCCTCTATAAACTTGTTGATTTAATTTCTTCTCTTCCACCCAATGCCATAAAACTGATATTGCAAAATGGACCAATACATGGGAAGAAAGGCAGAACTAGTTGACCAGAACGTTGTTATGAGTAAAAACGTTAATTATGTCAGTCTCTACTGCCGTGGTGCCAAAACAAACTGGTTTTGCGCAGCCGCGTTTTGTCTCAATAGTTGGCAAGGGGTAGCTGATGCATCGGGGGTTGCTGGGTAAACTTTGTTCATACCAGGTTTCATTTGACGAACAATGAACAATTGTTGTGGATTTCCTGAAGATCCTGGGGCAGCAGTTTGTACAAATTGGGGATAGTATCCAACAGCTGGTGCAGCTGGAATTTGTTTGTTGATAGCCCCGGCGTCATAATGGGAAGCGAGCGTTACTTGAGGATATGAAACTGGAGTAGCCTGTTGTTGATTGAGAATGGTATAGAATTGAGGGTATTGTTGACCCATGTATGGTGTTTGTATTTGTTGAGGTACCAAGATGTAGGGAACACTGGGGGCTTGTTGCTGTTGTTGTACGAGACCGGTGGTGTTTTCTGGTAAAACGTAAACGGGATCCATAACAGTTTGGGATGGAGCCAACAAGAAGGTACCAGAGAGTTGATAATTTGGACCACCATTTTGATCCTGGGCGGGTTGTGCCGCGGGTTGTTGTTGGACAACGGCGGGTTGCTGCACTATTTCCTGACCGAAGGCGGTGTTGATGTTGAAGATGACAACGGATACGAAAGACAAAACTACGAACTGAACAAGAAAAAATATGAATTTTAGTTATCATAAAGATTGTTATTCTATTGGTACTCACCATGTTCATATTGTTTATCGTGGTTAATCAGATAGATTAGTTTCAAAGAAGACAAAACCCGTTGTTTTGGTGGTAGTAGAAGACTGAACCGAAGTGGATTTTGAGATGCTGTTTTGGGAATTCCGGTTGGCTTTTATAGTACCGACGAATTGACGTTTAATGACGCTTTTCCCACTATCCCGACCATTTATTCTCGGAAACGGAACCGAAACGAAGGAGGGATTGAAACCGCGAAATTTTTTGCTAAATCGGTTTGTAACGGTGATCTTGCCAATTAAGACAAGACCATGATCATGAATGCAATTTTGTCAATTATTGGGCTGCATTTTTTATACCGATTATAATATTCGAAATGCATTTAATTGCGTTATTGTACGGTCAATTAGGTGTGTACAAATATAATTACCGAAGATATGGAAATGACATGTACTTGTCTACTTATAATTAATTAAGTATATGACGGATTAGATTAAAACGCTAATGCAAAAGTGCTTTGAAAAAATGGCTGAAAGATATTTTGACACCAAATGAAGATATGATCATCTGAATTTTCTTGCTATATGTCATTTTTCATTAGGATTCAAATATAAATATAAGGATTATATTTTGAATCCAAGAAAATAGTTAAATTTAGGAAACTGAAGCTTTGTTTTAGTTTAAATCTTCTTTCACATTAAAATTTTACATTGGCTTTCTTCACTGAATGAGTGTAGAAAATATTAGGTACTTTATTTTTAATTAACAATAAAATCTTTAATACATGTATGTATTATTTTAGAAGTATTGAAATATTTGGCTTTTTGTGTAGTTTTTCATATAAAAATTTCAATTTGGGACATATATCAAATTGATAAAATTTAATGTTAGCTAATGACAATAAATCGAATACGTAATGGGATTCTTAGTATTTACATATTTTCAAAACGTTTTAATTATTGACGATTACTTTTCCTGTGAATTTTGAAGTTTATAAATAATATGAGGATATTTAATATCAAAATCAATTTTTAAAATTCTTAGTTAAAGTGATGATTTTTTTTTTATAATAAAAATGAAAAGGAAAAGTGTATTATCCAATATTTTATTCGTCCGTTTTTATAATGTTACAACTTTAAAATTAAGTACAACAACAAAATCATAAATAACATCTTTATTTATTATAACATGAGTTTTCACAATATAAAATCCCAACTGGATCATTAATATCAAATTAAACAAATGAAAACAGTCTATATTGTTGCGACATTCGTTTGTCTTAATATTTGATAGTAGGGGATGGGAGGATAAGTGCTTATTACAGATGATTGTTTGAAAATTGGCGAAAAATTATTTATTGGTTTTATAAAGGTAATACACTGGGGTACCACGACAAGCATTGCCGAGGAACGGACTGATAAACAAGCGACTGCAAATTATTTGAAGGCATACTATGTTGCGGATCAGTAAAGGGAGAACTAGGAGGCATTAACAATAAAATTGGTGGTTGATAATTCAACAAGATATTTTGTTGTTTCTCTGGTTTTTCTTCAGAACGTTTCGCAATTTTTTGTTCTGTTTTTGTTAGAGGTAAGGCGTAAACAGGTACAATATTTGTTTGAGCCCTGTCTAAGACTGATTGAGTCCTTTCTAAGACAAATACCGCGGACACTTGTAGCCCTCTACCACCTCCTTGAGTTTGAGGAGTTTCTGATTGTTGCGGTTGCTGCTGCTGGGACTGTGACTGAACCTGCTGGGGTTGTTGTTGATCCTGTTGGGGTTGTTGCTGAACCTGCTGGGGTTGTTGCTGATCTTGCTGAGGTTGTGGCTGAGCCTGCTGGGGTTGTTGCTGATCCTGCTGCGTTTGTTGGGGTTGCTGGGGTTGTGATTGAACCAGTTGAGGCTGAAGTTGAGACTGCGCCTGATTAGGCCAATTTTGAAGTGCTGCAACTTGTTCTTGAAAACCACTGAATTGTCCCATCACGTTTCCGGCATGGAGTAGTACCATTAATGATAACAGTAGTGGCTGAAAAGATGAATAGGTATTTTTTTGTGATAAAAGCTTTACTATTTCCGATAAACAGGTACTTACGACATTCATTTTTTTTTTTGAAAACCAAATAACAATTAAATTCTTTATAACCTTAAACGGAACTGTTACACCCAAATATAGATTAGCTTTAAATATCGCAATTAATTATCATTGAATGACAAATATTTTCACACGTCCAACCATTTATTAGTAAAAATTGTCTCAATGCTGAGAGAGGGAGAAACCACAACGTTTTTTCTTATTTGTTTAATTATTTGTTCAACGGTTTCTTATCAATTAAGATGAATTAAGGTAATGAATCCAATTTGGGATGTAGTTCTATTAGGTCGTACTTGTTTTACAATTGGTAAACAGATCAACAACTGATAATACTAGAGACTATTTTTATACATTTTATTAAAAAAACTTCATTTTTCCCACAATAACCAGTTGATAATAATTAGAATCAATGAAGGCTTTATTTTTACCTGCTATAAACAAAGCACAAACGTGGCTAATTAAATAACTGCAATTATATCATTTAATCAATTAAAACTGTCATTATTTTTAAATTTTACTTACTACGTACAATAATTAGATCAGAGCTTTACTATTTAAAACTAATTCCAAGCATCATCAAGCTTTAAAAGTCATTTTTAGTAAATTTTGTTTAAGCGGTCGTAATCAGTGAAGTGATTGATAAGCAAATATACATTCATTTGTTTAATAATATTTTTATTTTTACTGCTTTAGTTTTATTTTTATTACATTTTATGGATACGTATTTTATAAGACATCTACTCCTAAAACTACATCTACAATAGAAGTATCTTCAACTTTTCTTCTCATAACAATGTCATCCGTTATCATTATATTGCTTCTAATGATTTCGACTAAGAAGGGTTGGAGTTGTGATTTTCTTGATTGAGTAAAGTATTTGTTGCTGCTAGTGGTTGAAAACGGGTTTGAATATGACATCAGGACATTAATGTTATGAGTAGAAAGTTGCTCTTATGTTTAACCAACTTGGTTCTGGGCTTCGTTGAATTGCTTCATCAACTGACATGGAGTCAGAGGTGCAGCACCGGAGGGATAAGTAGGGTAAAAGCGGTTGAGTCCAGGTGAGGTGGGTGGTATGAAAATCAATTTTTGTGGCGATGGTGCAGCACCATAAGGTGGTTGAAGATATTGGGTGTAGCTGAGAGACGACGGTGAAGACGGATTCTGAGCAGTGGCAAATGGTGATGCTTGCGGGAAGTAGTAAACAACGTTCTGTAGTGAGTTGGACGATGGATCTACAGTAAACTGTTGATTTGGTGAACTGTTGGGATAAGCGTAGGTCGGAACGGCTACAGTCTGAGCTGGCAGGCTTTCAAGGGCCCAAGTTCCGGAAACCATCACTTGACAGAAACTACCAGAGATACAGAAGGATGCTACCAATAAGACTGTCAACTAAAATAAATAAATATACGTATAAAGTTGCAGTAAATGAATGTGTTATAAACGTTTTATGTAGTTATTAAGGTAACTTACCCCGTTCATTTTTATTATTGGTTTCGAGAAGTGCCAATGATTGTAAACTCAAAATATTTCTGAGATGCCTTCTACGCCTTCAGGTTGTATTTATATAGCACTTTGGATTACCGTAGGTTGGTCTGATTTATTTTAGATGGAGAGGAAGGGAGAAACCGCGAGGTTTTTTATTCTAATCAGTTAGCAACGGTATTCTTATCAATTATAATAACGAATGACGTTAATTAATAATTTAATTTTAGAATAAACAGTTTTGCCACCTGTAATAAAACACGTATTTTTAGTCGGTTTATTACAGTTTTTTGTTTTTCTGTTTACGTCTTCGATATTCTACGATTAGCAATACTAGATGACGTCTTAGTAATTGCAACAGTTGGCAAAAATAACTGACATCGTCTTTATGGCTTTGATGAAAATATCATTGTAAGAAAAACTTCAAAAGTTAGCTAAATTAAAGAAATATATAGAATAAAAGTTAGATCGTCATATCTAAAAGTTGATGCATTTAGATAATCAAAATCGCTCACTCTATCAGTTCTTTTAGATCACTGAATTAAAAAAATATGGATGATATAAATCGACTGGTACAAATGGTTGAGAATAATTAATAGTTACTATTATTTTGAATACTTTTCGACCTTCTGAATCTAATGCATCTACTATGAAATTTTCATTAGGATTTTTCTGCTTTTCCATGATTATTCTTTACCTATACTTACCTAGTAATTCTGAAAGGGTATTTATGTAGATCATAGGTATCTACATGCACCATCAATATATCTTAAAAATCTTCGTATCACTTATTATCGCGTATCAAAAGTTAAAAAAGATAATTGTTTAACGAATTAGATAGGTACACTTAGACGTTTGGGTTAGTCAAACTTTGGCTTTGATAATTGTAAAATTAAACATGATATATGAAGAAGTACTCGTCCCTATTTGAATAGATACTTATTGTTTGTAGTATTTAAAAGATTTGCATAATTAGCGACAAGTTTGTTTTTAATAGTTTTCACTAATTGCTTGCCTTACAACACGACTGTAGAGATACAGAAATCTTTATGGAATAGCAATAATAATTAACATACTTATAACATTTTTAGTAGTACATTTTTCAATTTGCTTTTCTGTTACGTCCTTAAATAAATATCTTTTTGTTGCTGATCCTGTTGGGGTTGTTGCTGAACCTGCTGGGGTTGTTGCTGAACCTGCTGGGGTTGTTGCTGATCCTGCTGGGGTTGTTGCTGAACCTGCTGGGGTTGTTGCTGATCTTGCTGAGGTTGTGGCTGAGCCTGCTGGGGTTGTTGCTGATCCTGCTGCGTTTGTTGGGGTTGCTGGGGTTGTGATTGAACCAGTTGAGGCTGAAGTTGAGACTGCGCCTGATTAGGCCAATTTTGAAGTGCNAATTGGCCGAAACACCGAGGAGTTTGGTTAACCATAACAATGCCTCGAGCGGAAATGAGTTCAATGTGAAGGCGTCCGTTGCTGGTACCGATTCTGGGCCGCAATGGGTTGCATCAGTACTTGACAAGGGACAGGTTGTTGAACAGTTGAATAAAGTCGATTTGTACCAGGCATTACAGGTCTTAAAAGTACCAGTTGTTGAGGAGAAATCGTTCGGATAATTTTAAATTGAGGAGAAATTTGCTGGACTCCAGATTGAGATAGAGCGGGATGGTAAAATTGTTGATAATTGGGAGCGTAGATATGGGATGGTGTTCGGAGAGGACGTAGGGTAGTTGACGGTACCATGGGAGGTTGCTGGGTCGTTGGAGGTTGTTGGGTAGTCGGTGGCTTAGTTGTTGTCACCCGGTGCGGTGTTTGCGAAGTTCCCGGAATTTGTTGAGGAGTTATTGTTGGTGCTTGAGGAATTTGTTGAAGGATTATCGGCGACAGACTATTAGCAGGATAAATAAGAGGACGTGATTGAGGAAGTAGCAAAGTTAGGGGCGGTAAACCGTCGTCATCGTCATTTGTGGGTAAAGAGGTTGAATCTTGTTGCACCTCTGATTTGTTTTCCGGTAAAACGTACACAGGATCTTCAACTGTTTGGGCTTGTTGCAATAAAAATGTTCCCGTAACCTGATAATTAGGTCCCTGATTCTGCTGTGGTTGAGTCTGCTGAACGGGTTGTTGAACAACTGTTTGCTGCTGGACAGGCTGTTGTTGGACAGTTTGAACAGGCTGTTGTTGGACAGTTTGAACAGGCTGTTGTTGTTGGACAGTTTGAACAGGCTGCTGTACAACCACTTGCTGCTGTTGGGGCTGTTCAACCACTTGGGGTTGTTGCACCACCTGCGGCTGTTGCACCACTTGGGGTTGCTGCTGAATTATTTCCTGGCCCAATACATTCACCAAACAGTGGATTATCAACAAGGGTATTAACGAAAACTGCTAAAAGAATAGGTCAGACATTATCTACTTGATGTTTTGGACGAGTTAAAAATTATTTTGTGGTTTCAAAAAAAATTCATAAGCATGACTTATGGAAGATTACTTACCATTATTGCTTATTATTATTATAATTACTAAAGTTAAATTTTACTCTTTAACTTATGTTTGAGTTATACAGAATGATAATTTATTGAATGGCTAATTTTTTCACATGTAGTTCAATTTATGTAGAAGCAAATCATAGAAATTAAAGGGAGGGGAAAAACCGCGATTTACTTCTAAGTCTAATTAATAACGGTGTCCAAATAATTAAGAGGTAGAGACTGCGTCAATGAATTTGGTATTGTCTTGTTTCAACAGTCTATTTACTATACGTGCTACATAGTGCGTTTAGATTGTTTACTTATAATTTTTTTGTGGACTTTCTTCGTCATTTCTTCAAAATCAAAAGTGATTATTTCATCATCCCCTGAAATTTTATTTAGTCGTCGTGTTGTAAAAATAAAATTTTAATAAATCGCAGTTATTTATTTGTAACCAAATTTTCTTGATCTTGATTTCTGTTATTGTTATTTATTTCATTTGTAACTCAGATTCAACAAGAAGGTGGAAGGTTGTGTATTTAATTTATTGTGGAATATATGATGTGACACGTAAACAATTACAAATAGGTTACTTTATAACGTCAATTGCAATAAAAAATACTGACAAAAACAAATACTTGAGTTGTAGAAATTAGTGAATTTACGTCAAATAAAATAAAGATTAGAAAATTCATAATCGTGGCTGATTAAATTTTCTTAAAAGTGCCTCAGTGGACTGAGTTTGTGTATGATTTCGTATGTATGTAAGAAGCAAACATGATATTCGATGATGGACTTTGTTAATCTTTCTTGTAAACTATGGTTTAAATGTCGAAAATAAGATATTCATTAAGATACAATAATTCTATTAGCAATCATTAAAAAATTATTAAAAATTTTGGTGGAGGCGCCGGGACAATTTAACAAATAAACAAACAGAGGCTATAATTGAGTTATAATTCCAGTCTCAATGAAAATGATTGATGAATTTTCATCTTTAAATACCATTTTTACCATGTGGGTGTCGTTAAAGATGCTAATTTGTACACACTGTTAGGATGCTATAATTTGTGATACAATATAGGCAATCCAACATGCAGCAATTATTCTATTGCAATTAGTAATATAACTATAACAATAAAAATATTTTTTCTCTAGAAAAATAACTTTTGTTTGTGAAACTCAATACTATCTTCAAACAGACCGCCAAATACTACGTAAAAATAATTGATTACTTAGGCCCTGATGTCATAAAACTTGATTAAAAAAATTTTTTGTATCAATCTGCTAAGAAGGTTATTAATTAGGAATATTTAATTTATTTTTATTATAAATTATCGTTTTAATGCTCAAAATAAGACGTTCATAAGAATACACAAATGTAATCAAATATAATTTTATTGAAAATTTTGGTGGAGGTGCCGGGACAATTTAAAGAAGTCTGTAATAGAATTACAATTTCGGTTTCATTGAAGTAAATTGATCAATTGTCACTATGTTCTTCCTATCTAAATGCAGTTAGGGATGTTAATTTATATTTTTCTTTTAACAATAACTTAAACTACATTTTGTAATATAATGAATATAGACAACCCAACATACATGTAACAAATATTACAACTTTAATAATGTAACTACAAAGAAAGTTAGGAAACTCTATCTCACGAAAATGACATATTACTTACTTATTTAGTTCTAATTAACAAGTTTTAATTAATTGAATAAAATAGAATTTTTGGAAATTATCTTTGAAAAATTGATCATCACTTTTCTGTGCAACTCAAACCACATTAAACTATTTAATTTTTTTATTTAATTTCTATATTCCTTAACAAAGAAACTTTGTCATTACAATCTACAATTTTATACTGCCTTTCACAATAATTTACAACATTCATAATATTTCACAACCGTTAGTTTATCTTCTTCTCATATTTCCGGCCGTTTGACTGCTGGAGGGCGTAGAATTTGCAACCCCTTGGGCCAATTGCATGAAATAATTTCGGAAAGCTTGTATCTGATTACTACTCGATGGCGAAGAACCGCTTGGACTTGGGGTGAACAATGCCGATGGGGTTACATCGCCGAATCCTTGAGGTCCCAACGGCCCTAGAGGGTCAATCACCTGTGGGGCAGGTGGAGTATAACTTAGAGGGAATGAAGATGGAAACGGCATTGCCACGAAACCAGTTGGTTGAAGAACTGAAGAAGACATCTGCTGATTAGAAAACGGACAAGATACGGATGTTGGGGGAGCAGTTTGTTGTCGGATTGGAAGGGCACCCAACTGACTTTGTGCAGCAATGGTTTGCATAAGCATTTGGCATGGGAGAGGTAGTTGAGGTCCCGGTATAGGAACAGGTCTGCATGGCATTGATGCTGGAGGAGCAGAGGCCATTGCAGCAGGTGCTCCTGGTGCTGGTCCAGTCGAGGGATAAACCAGTGAAGGGGTTTGCGGAATGCGTTGAGTTATTTGCGGTTGACTTGGTGGACCTCCCACTGGAGGAAGCGACGTAATCCTGGGGAATGTTGGATAATACTGGTTTGGTCCACCAGGTAAAGCCTGAAGAAAAATAACCTGAGGCGCAGGCGAGAGTCCTGGAGCGGACTGGGGAGGAGGATAAGTGAGTGACGGCGTTGATGGGATTTGTTTCGTAATCGGGGGCTGATTAGCAGCGTTAGCAGTCAAACCGGTTGGAGGTAGCGCTGCAGGCAATGTCATAATGGGAATCAGTTGCTGATTAGGGTAAACAAGCGACGCTGTTTGAGGAAGCTGTTGGGTAATTGGAGGTTGACCACCATTTGAAGAACCCAGCGGGGCACTTTGTGACGATTGACTATCCTCTGGATAAACAAGAGACGGTGTTTGAGGGATGACCAGTGTGATTGGTGGTTGATCGTTGGTACCAATTTCGGTCTGTTGCTGGCCCATCGAGGGGTCAAAGGTTATCGGTTCTGAACCGTTGGGTGGCAGTGCGTAGACGGGAACGGCAACCGTTTGAGCCCGTTCTAGGACGAATGTTCCTGATATTTGGTAATTCGGACCGCCCTGTTGGGCATCCTGGGTTTGTACCGGTTGTACTTGCTGAACGGGTTGTTCCACTGTTTGGACAGGTTGTTGAATGATTTCCTGAGTCAAAACGTAATTTACGGAGCACAGGAGGACTGATAAGAAGGATAATACGATTGACTGAAAAAAAAAATCGTATTAGGAGAATTTTAAGATAAGAAAAACTGGCTACAATTTTCTATTAATCGTTTTTAGATGTTACTTACCGGCTTCATATTGTTTATTTATTCCAGAATCTTTTACGACTATTAAAAACTGTAGACACGACAATCACGGAACTTCTGATTTCAAGGTGATCCCGATTGACACTCTTAAAGATACATTCTCTAAATTCCAATTATATGTATTTAGAACAATGGATTGAATGACATGTTTTTCTAAAATTCGACCTATTTATTATACAAAATCGATCAGACGGACAAGGTAGGGGAAAAACCGCGAAATTATTGAGAAATTAATCAATAACGGTATTATCATCAGTTAGAACGGATTGGATTCATTAATACCGTTATTTTTTGTATCAATATTGTGCGATTTTGGACCTTTGCAGTTTGACGTAGGTGCTTAAGCGAAAAAAAGTTGTTTTGAAAATTAGAGCAAATGTAAATTAGATATGTTTTTGTGTGTATATATGTGAACTATATTGATATGATTATTATATTTAAACGTGTATTTTGTCTCGTTATTAAATTCAGGAATTCCTGTAGTTGACCGCAGCAGTTTCCTTGCTTTTCGTTCGAACGATTTTGATAATTGTTTATAAATTACTCTGCTTACGTAAATGCACCGATTAATAATCTCAATGAGCAAAAAATTTCGGAGCGTAACATTTTGAGATCATTTAATTAGTCAAAGTTAAAAATCCAATGTCGAAAACAAAAAATCCGATTCCTTTGATAAACCGAATTAAACCTTCATCGTATTTCTGACGAACTTGAACACAATCGAAGTTCGACAATCCTTGAAAATATTTTTCTTTAGGAAAATGGAAAATAGTTTTCCTTTTCAAACATGGACCCTTTACATCGGTGACACCTATGATTAAATAGTCGAAGTTTGTTAAGAAGGAGACTGGCGCGAATATCGGAATTTAAGTGACCAATCTCCACGGAAGTGATCAGTCATCGTAATAGAAGAGACACGTAAAAATTAACACATTTTATTTCTTTACGAAGTTTTGTATGACTGACCTTAGGTGTTAGAACAATTACCTAATAAAAAGTGATAATTTAGTTTATTTTTAATCGTGGCTGTACATGTTTCCACGTGAATAGAATTGTTCCTTTGAATTACGTTGTGGTGTGAGTTTTTGACGGAGGCCATCTTTGCAATCTTCTATCAAAGGTCCTTGGCTCACCGAATCGTTGTCTGGTGAGAAACCAGTATCATACACATTCATTATATCAAATGGCTTTAAAAAGAATTAATAAGGTACGTTGGCTTTTTTATTACACTAAAACGAATTTAGAAATTAATATTTTGACGTTTAAACGTCGATTTGTGTGTATTAAAACGCCCTTTACTTTAGTGCTAAAGTAGTCTAAAAATTACAAGAATTCGTTAGAAACATCTTGATAACAGTTTAATTAATGTCCATTAATCGTGATCCATTGAAAATTAATGCCCGATGATGGGTTTTACATTTCTCTTGCACGCGTTTTTGTTAGTTCACGTATTTCAATGATGTTTCTGCTATTATCAGGTTGAATAATCAGGTCTTGAAAATGCCGGATACAACGTATTTTATCGTAAATCCCAGTTTTTATATCATATAACTGTTTTTATTTCAATTTAGACTGAAAATATCGAATGTTTCTCGTCTTTTTTACTAAATATAATGTGTTTGGTGCATATAACCTAGCCATATAAGGTTGCTGACTTACTGATTGAGGCTATTATTAAACACTTGGTTAAAATCATTCTTTTTTACTTTTAGGAATTACAAGATCTCGGTAGAGACCCTCCAGCACAATGTTCAGCAGGACCTGTTGGAGATGATTGTAAGTTTTTTTATTTTCTTATGAAATTTCTTGTGATACACATATTGGCTTAACTATTTCGTTACCACCTGCAAAGAATCTATTCGTGTGATTACTGAGATACTTTTCTTGTTTTTTGCAGTATTTCACTGGCAAGCTACAATTATGGGACCAGTAAGTTACTTTTTTCTTGTATTTTTGCATGATCTTGGGTTCATGAACCAGAAATAATATTTTTACTTTTTTACAACAGCAGTATCCTTGGAATTTATTAATTACAGTGGTTATTACATTGAATCTATGATATATATCGACTAAAGTCCTTTGTACTGTTGTGTTAGTATGCAAAGGACTTGTTTGTTGAATGTCAACGAGACTACAGCACCCCAAAGTGTATTTTATTAAATTCAAAATCTGCAGTTTCATTGCTGTATTCTCTGCTGTATTAGGTTGTCATTGAACTTATTAACATGTATTTTAAATAAAAAAGGCTATGGTTTCTAATCATTTAAATAGATTTAGTTTAGAAATTATAAGTACTTTTTTTGTTCTTTCTTTTTTCCATTAAGTTTTCTGAGGTTTATTATAATTTAATTAAGATAAATGAAGTTGGATACCTGTCAGTGGAAACGCAATAAGCTTGTAGCAGTTAATTGAATCTTTTTTCCATGTCTTTTTTTCATTTTAACAGGTGTTTGTAACAAGATTAGCTTGTAGACTTTAAATTTAAAACATCTGGACATCCATTTTTTTATTTTACGGTGAATCATGTTTAGTTTTATTATATTTTACTTGTTACCTTTGTCTTATTGTTTTTCTGTTATTTTGTTTATCACTGGTTTTTTTCTTTTGTTGCAGCCAGACAGTCCGTACCAAGGAGGGGTATTTTTTTTAACAATTCACTTTCCAACAGATTATCCGTTCAAGCCTCCAAAAGTGGCATTCACAACTAGAATTTATCATCCAAACATAAACAGTAATGGTAGCATTTGTCTTGATATTCTCCGTTCACAGTGGTCTCCTGCACTTACTATTTCAAAAGGTAATATTAATTACTGATCAGGTAATTAAGAAACTGACTAAAGGGTTTTTAATTTTCTGTCTAAATTTGGCACCCTGTCTTTCGTACTTCCTTCTGAACGAAGGTTGGCAGTTTTATTAGTAATCTGAAGTAATAAAATCCGATAACAAAGTAAACATTTTATTCTTCTTATTTTAATTCTTAATCTTAGTCATAGTCTGGCGACTTAGGACTTAGGACTGATGACTTTATGATGATGATTTTAATTGATGGTCTCAAAAACCTAATAACTATTCGAACCATCTAGGTAATTGCTTCTATATTGTTAAAGGTAGCCTACACATGATCCAATCAAGTTTCCTGGTTGTATTTATTTTTTTTTTTACCGCCTTGCAGTTTGTTTTGAATTGTCTTCCATATAAATACTTATCATATTGGTTATGATAAGAAAAAATATCACCGCAAATTTTATCTTTTGCAAGACCAATCAAAAGATAATTATCGTCATATATCTAATGACATTATTTTTGAAAATATCGGTTTCTGTAGATTGCAAATTGCAGGTTTTATTATTATCTTTCGTTTGATCATCATTAGTCAGCTTAATATCCTTATTAATATTGAATTGAATATTTCCAACTTGACTGAAGTTTTTCTTCTAATGTTCTAATATTAGCTAGTTCTTCATGAATCACTCGTTGCGAATTTGTTTTTAAATTATCAATAAATTAAACATTGTAGGAATTCAATTACGACAGTAAACTGATTTGGAGAAATGGCTATGTATATTTATGAAACAATTCTATTGTTTTGTAAAATAGATCGGTTACATACATTTTTTTCTGTTAAATTCTATAACGAGTGCGAAGGGTCATTCTTATAGTTTGCCCTTAATTTCGAAAATTTTCAATTCAAATCCGAGTGATTCAGAGTAATTCACGAATTAGCTTGCCCTACTGGCCTGCGACCTTTTATTATCGCAATGGTATTTGTTGCTTTACATAAAATAGTTATTGTCGACCTTAATAATTACATGCAGAAGTTCTGTCCGTTTAGGATTTGTTAGTTAACATTTTTAATAGTTGTACACCCTGTATACTTTAATTTTTGTCGTTCCCTTTTTGACGATTTTTGATGCTGTCGTTAGAAAATTATTATTAATCGAGTGATTATTTTTAATTTGCGATCTGTTCCTTTTTTTTATTGTTGCATTTAAATAGAGTCGTCTTTTTCCGAGAAAAAGGAGAAACAACGTTGTTGTTCAAGTTCAGTGCACTTTTCGATGGTGGAACTGTGTTCAGTGAGTCATTCGTGTGACTTGTTTTTAATATTTCGTTACAGACCGAACGTTTCGTCAACTCGACGCGTTCTGTGTAACTGTAAACGGCACTGAATTGTGAATTTAATTATTATTATTATTATACTTTCCTCCATTCCTCGTCAGATACACTTTTGCTACTTACCGGAAAACGTTATCTCATTACATTGGTTTTCATGTATACAGGGTATCCCACCAGTAGATCCCAACAGGCAAATTTTCGCTACAATATGTTAAACACATTTAGTCACCCTGTAACTTTAAAGGCTCTCATTTTATTTAAAATTAATAAGTAGAAGTTCAATCTTCAATAAGAATGATCCTGAGCATTTTTGTCACTTATTGCGAGAAATTTGGTATAAAATGTGTACCAAAAATCAAAAACTTTACACTTTGTTTTTGATTGTTCTGGGTGTCAATATTTGTTGAGGGTTAGAAATAAAAGGTGTAATGTAAGATGAAATATGTTAGGGTGATTACGTGGGGGGAGTCAATTGAAATGATACGTCTTTATTGTTTCAGTATTGCTATCAATTTGTTCGTTATTGTGTGATCCAAATCCAGACGATCCCCTGGTGCCAGAGATCGCTAGGATATACAAAACAGACCGGGAGAAGTACAACGAGCTGGCTCGGGAATGGACCCGCAAGTATGCCATGTGATGCCCCGGCCCTTCACCTCCCGCCACACCCACACTTAGAATCAAACGATTTATTATTTAATTCAACAAGAAACAACAACTACTACAACTACAGCAGCAACAACAAAAGCAAAAAAAAGGCATTAGCAGCAGCAGCAACGTCAACTGTTTCAAATAATAACAATAATAATTTTTCATAAATTTGTAATAATAATAGTAAAACGATTGGAAGGACGCGCATGCGCCGCCGCCATCTTACGATGATGAATTGATTCTTCGACTGTCCTTGTCGTCGCCATTATTGGTTTTTTTTTTCTTCCGCAACTGTACATTCGCTTTCGTTCGTTTGTTGGGTTTGTTCCTCTGTCGCCACCGTACACAACAGTCTCCCCCGCCTCCTCGAGCACACCACCACAACCACCAGCAGCAGCAGCAGTAAGCAAGCACCTGACGATGTTGATGCTAGTGTTTTGATTTTCTTAAAATATTATTATTGTTGTTCCTTTTTTTTCTTGAAAAAAAAAAAACAAACAAAAAAGTCAATCGACATCATCCATCAAGATAATTGTAACTAAGATTATTATTATTATTGGATATATCCTATTTTTTATTTAATATATAACTGTGGTTGTAAAACGGACTGTCTTCTGTGGTTGGTTGGTACATACATAGCGTCCATCGTGTCGTCGTGGTACAAAAACCTCCCCGTTCAATAATGAATGATAATAATAATTTGCCGTTGTTGCGATCTCCTCTCTATCGGTCTTTGTTGTTTTCTGGGGAGGGCGGCGGGTCCAAGCGCTCGCTCGTACTCCCCCGCCCGTTTGCGCGCGTATCTGTGCTGCTGTGCGCGCGCCCGCCCGCCCGCGGCGTTACACCGACCGCCCTGCCCCTTCCAAAAAAATAATAAAATGTGTGCGCGTGACACTAAAAAAAAACACACAAACAAACACACGCATACACACCTGTATGTATGTAACTTTAACTGTTAGATAAATTAAATTTATAGGTCTTGTGGTTCAGCTTAGGTGTATTATATAATAAAACTTATCATTCTAATTATTATGCTGGTGTTTCTTAGCATGTTGCCACATATATATTTATATATGTACGTACTACGATTATGCGGGAGGGTGGGAATTGGGAAAAGGTTTGCTTGCTTCTCCACCTGTCCCGATTCTCTCCCTTCTTTTTTCTTTTTCACTTCCCCCCCGTCCTTTTTCATGATCCTCTTCTATTACGATGCGAATGCGCGGCGCCGTGCGGCCACAGTCCGCGTCCAGACTGTTCTCTTTCCTTCTTTTTTTTTCTCTCTCAACTGTTACTAGGAGTTGCATTACTTTATTCATGTGTGTGTTGAATTTTTATTTAGTTAGTGAATTTTATGAGAAATATTGAATAAAAATCTAACTTTTTGAAAACTCATAGTGGAAGTTATTTTGTCGTCGGGCGCGATTTAATATATATATATTAGTCGTTGTTGACTGTCTTCGAACGTAATCAAAAAACGTAATGTAGCAACAAATGGCAGTGATTTCTTTTGTTTCCTTTGTTGCTTCTAAAAAAAAATTGAAAGTTAAAACAGTAGAACCAAATGACAGCATATTGTGACAGTCAGTTTGATCCATACGGGGTATTTATACATACATAAATATAAAATGTACTTTCAGTTTTCTTATCCATACAATTTAAATTCGCTTGTAAATATGCTAACGATAATAAATTAGCTAGAATTCTAGAAAAGTATCTCTTATCAACAACTACCCTCGTAATACATTAGAATAGTACTACATGCAACGCGTTAGAGGTGAAAATTTTAAATAGAATCTCACTTTTTGGTTTTGTGTTGATTCTACAAGTGAATAGTGAATGCTATTAGTTATTTCGTTTCGTCATAGTCATTGATAGTAATGATGAAGTCGTTTGTATTTTTGCCAAATTTTGGCTTATTTTTATAACTTCAAGTGTTGGAGGGGCGCCAAAAGTAAAAGTGAATCAATTTATTTTTAAAGCATTGAACAAGTGATGGATTATTGAAAAAAAATATTGGTCATTGGCAATTGGTACTGTACATTTGTTACGACAAATTGGTGCTTAAAATGATGTTTTAATATAGTCTTTATTTCTCTTATCAACAAAAAGTAATTTTCTTAGTCTCCACCGCAAATTCGTTATTTTTATATTTTATCATAGTTATTTAAACTGAATGCATATTTTGTGCTAATCATTTCAAAGTTACTTTATTTTGAACGTTGTAGGAACTAGTCTGTTATTAAATTATATTAATCGTTGACTATCATAAAAACAGGCTCTTATGTTACATTTAATAAATATAAAATTATATAGGTGACTTTCTAATTTCTAATTGTTCCTATTACTACGAAAACAGATAGAATTCTAGAGGAAGGCATACAAGACAGATTTCCAGGATTTTTAAAGTGTTATGTATCCTTTTTAAATGCACCGGTAGAATAATATTTTAAAATATTCCATGAAATTTGGAAAAATGCCTCAAGTAATAGCTTATTATTTTCTCTTGTTATTCATAGGGTATTTGTTATTATAATAACGTTAGGTAATCTATTTAATCCAAAAAAAAAAGTCCACAAAGTACCCACATTGTAATCTATTTAATTCGAAAAAGTCCACAAAGTACCTACATTTTCTTTAATTAGTACGAAATGGGTATTTGTAAAATTAAAATTAACTGAAGTAAAAGAAGTAGCAGGGAAATATTAAATGGTTATAAGGGGCTGTGTTGTATTTAAAATTGTGTAATTTGTGGACGCCTTGTATCTACACATAGTACACACATTATTCTGTAATGTTTTTACTTGTGAATTTTTATACGTAAATATAATAGTGAGGAAACAGTGGCTCGTGGTTTATTTTGCTGTTCATTTTTTTCTTTCAAATACTGAGCCCAGAAAACAGTGCAAAAAGTGTCTCCGTCGTTCTTAGTGCAGTGTTGAAAAATGACATGGTATAGCATATATTTTTATTTACCTTATTTGTCTACGATTAATTAACATATTAACTTCAAGAAATTGGAATATTCTATTAAAACAAAAAAAGTGTTTCCGCCCGGGATCGAACTGGGGACCTTCCGCGTGTTAGGCGGATGTGATAACCACTACACCACGGAAACTTTTGATATTAAAATAATTTTCATAATTTCTGTTGAGTCGAGTCCTTCGTTAACTGTATTTGTATAAAAGACGTAAGGTCCTGATATTACCTTGTTATTATTGAGCCGCTTTTAAATTTAGTCGAGTTTGAAATCCATTGGGTGTTTGAATGAACTATAGAAGCAAACTGAGTACCTTAGTTTGGCTACTTGCATATAGATGGCGATACGGATTCTAAAGTAAGATAAAATTTGAATTTTCAAATGTTTTGGCGGCTATGTCTTCCTTATTACAAATTTAATCATTAATAAACTATTAACTTTGTATAGACTGTCTAAAAAGTTCAAAACAGTACATTTATTGAGTTCTCTCAATAATTATAATGGTTAGCTATTTATTGTGTAGCTTGCAATTTATTTGATGTTCTTCAGTTCGTCTTCGTTCGTAAAGAAATTTCAAGTGAAAACACATTGAGGTCAACGAATTTGAAAACCTGATTCATGCCACTTAGCCATACGTACCATTTATATTTCCACTACTTAATTTTAGTTGACCATCGCAATCGTACACTCGAGAGTTCATACAACAATAATTTCGAGTTTAGTATTCGGTGTGTTACTTCAATACATGCAAGTGATTGTGTACATAAGTAGAAAATGATTTTGTGAATGTTCTCAATTTAACTTGCAATTCCAACCCAGTGATACCGATATATTTAGGTAATTTTTCAGCTTTGCCCATATTTTACCCTTAACGCTTCAATTTTCAATCGGTAACTTCAAATGAATTTTCATCTTTTTATGACTCGAAATTTCTTCATCTTTTAAATTTATTTTCCTTTTTTTCTTTCGTAATATTACAATTTCTTTTTGGTAAATAAAAATAGTTTTTAATTTCGATGGAATTTATACATGCGTTTTTCAAAGTCGTAATAATTATTCTCAAGGAAAAGTTCGAACTTATTCAACGTTAAAACAATGAAAATATTGCGACTGATTTTATGTCACAGCATTGAAGGGACAAGAGTTACATAAAAAAGTTTTATGCTAATAAATTTGTTATTAATGTTAAACCAATCATGTAACAGCTTGGAATTTTATCAGGTTTTTCTAAATAGTATGATTTTATCGTTAGTAACTAGTTTAGTAAATTGCATATGTACTTGTGAATTTTCTGCCATTTATATTGATTATTTGCAACTTGAAAATATTTGTTTATTTCTCAAATATCGTGTTCAGAATTACATATTTATATAGAAAAAATTGTAGGCATATTAGTGATAAACAATTTTCTTATTCTTATTTGAAATTGTTCCCACAGAACACAATTAACCAAATAAATATTAAATGCAGCGGATTCTGTAGATCGTGTTTACTAAAATTTTGAATTCACAAGAAAGATAATTTTTTATTGTACTAATTCTGCAGTGGTATTAGTGATACATTTGTTCATCTTTAATCCATCCAATCCAATAAAATCCATTAACGTTTAACATTTCAGAAATCGAAAATATTCTGACATGACTGTATCATTAGCTGCTAAAACAGAAGTCCAAAAAAGCGATGATAATGAAAATGTGGATTGCTGTATTGACAGGGTAAGAGGTTACTGGTATTTTCCTCTTTGTTAATTTCTACATTAAGTAACAATTAACAGTACAGAATTGTTAAATACTTCTATTTTGGTTGTAATATATTTATAATTACTTTATTAACCAATTATAAATACTTATTTTGATTTCTATGCGGAATCGTTGTGCAATTTTATACTTCCTGAAACATCTACTGACACAAAAACCAACAACTTACTTCCTTGTTATTATGTCTTTAAAATTATACCTCATCAGCATTGGCGCATCATGTAACACAAACGCACTACGTATGCATGTTATAAATGTACGCAATGTCTACATATGTAGTTATTTACAGAGCGATGCATTTTTCCTAAAATATATGTTAGTTTAGTTTAACAATATTCGTTAGAAAATTCGATCAATACTTTAAATCAATTGAGAATTCTAGTTCTACTTTCCATTATCATCATCTATAAGGTCGCCAGTTCTAAGATTCGTTGGATACGCACCTCCACTTTTCCCTATCTTGAGCTAATCTTCGCATTTCCCAAAAATTAGAACAACCCACATCCTTAACTATTTGCGAACAGTAATCTAATCTAGGTCTACCTCAACCCCTCCTAACTCTCGTTTATGCCTCTAATATGTCTCTGACTAGACCTTTATGCCTGAGAAGGTGTCCTATTGTATCCCGCCTATTTCTTATTGACTTCCTCAGAGTCCTCTGTTTTCCTATTCTTCCTAATATCTCTTCATTTCTAACCTTCTCTATCCACGGTATCCTCATCATTCGCCTGTAACACCACAATTCGAACACTTCTAACATTTTCTTTTCCGCCGCGCCCATCTTCCATGTTTCGCATCCGTACAGTGCCGCGTTCCAAACATACACTTTTAACAATAGTTTTCGAATTTCTAAATTAATCGTTCGCGAGCATAGAAGTGACTTCTTTTTATTGAAGGCGACTCGACCCTGCGCTATCCTCTGCTTTATATCCCTACCACTCTTTACATCCTGACTTATCTGACTTCCTAGATACCTAAAATCAGCCACTTCTTCTAATTTTCCGTCTCCTATCTTGATATTCGTTCTTTCCCTACTATTTCTTCCCGTGTTTACCAGTATTTTTGTTTTACTTTTGTTTATTTTCATACAGTACTGTTTCGTCAATATCGCTTCCGTTTTATTTGAAGCTATGTCTAACTCCTTCTTGCTATATGCTAATACTGCTACATCTACATTTATATAGATTTAATGTGTTAGGTTTCTGGGTTACTAAATTTTTAAATGCCGATATCGCTAGAGCCTTTTCCAGGGGGTGGTAATTAGCTTACCAGGGTGCATCTACATCTAAAGGGATTGTAAGGCTTCCCCAGGACTATAATATGAAGTGTTAATACGTTACAACTTATGGCTACTTAATTAACTAATTATAATTGTAACATATTAACAAAGCCTTATATTTTAAACCTGAAGTTATCTCGTATGTAAGCGCGAAACGTCTGTTTGGTTTCATAATCAACAAAGATTAGGTATAACTTCTATTGGGTTGATTTCTTTTTAGATTATAGCACCTATGCTTAAGGTATTCGCTATATATTTATGTACAGCACATATACATATATAATAATAATACTATATATGTATGTAGTGACAGGTCAGGTGAAATTTTATGTATAGTAGATAGACAATCCATATATTTATGAAAGGAAAATGGTACCTGCTTTACAATCTACCCATCAACCTTTGGTAGAAAGTGCAAATTAAATTTTCAAACGTCTTTCATTTCAGTTTTACTATAGTATAACGTCACAGATACGATGCCTATTGTATTGTTACATTCGGGAAAAGTTCCGTTATGCTAATGTATCAAAAATGCTAAAAAAATTAATTGATTCTAACCGGTTCTATCGCGAAACCTCGCATACGACAGAACTTACTAACTGAAACTAAGCGTATGCTTATACAATTTTCTATTCAAAAGTTCATCGAAACTTACAACTATTTTTGTAATGTATTTTTTAACAATATTTAAAGACTTTGCGCACTATTGTTAATAAATTTTTTTGAATTTTATTTATTTATATGCATAGCAATTTTTTTGAATTACTGTTATCTATGTTAATCTGTCTTGAATAAATTAATTTATTGTATAACTGAAGTGCCATGAAGTGTAACAAAAGGATAACAATACATTATTTTATTTAACCATTAATGACTGAACTAAAAAAACAAGTGTAATGACAACAATAATGTCAATGTCGAATCAACGCAGTGTGTAAACCAATAAGAAATGAATAGAATATTAATCATTGTTTTGTAATAGCGGTTTCTTACGTGTTTGAGTGCGCTCCGATGAATTGTAATAAGCAATTTATTAGGTAGCGATTCTTCATTAATAAGTGTAACTGTCAAACGCGATTATTTTTCCTAAGAAATACTTTATTAAATTAAATTTATATCAATTTTGCAGTCGATTATGTAATTTCCCCCTGCGTTCGACTACTATCGTGATAGGGTCGCAGCTTTGAATAGTTCTGCCGTTGTGCTATTGATTTTACTATCCTTGACGTATCCTGCTCCGTTCGCAAAATTTTTACCCTTCTTGTACGTTCTGCCACCCTGATCGCGTAAGGCACGATTCGACACTGATGTGAAAGATTGACAAGTGCTTTGACAGCCTTTTTACATTATAAAATAGCAAAACTTCCTTACTGTTTAATGTCGTCCTTAGACGATATAAAATAATTTTGCTGTGTTTTAATTTTTGTACTGTTCAGTACCATAATAATAATAATAATAATAATATCAGGGGTATGTACACCTCCTGTATTTACATAAAATCCTGTTTCATAACCAATGTACATAGAGGTCCTGCGTGTTTGAATTTTTATATGTACAAGGTCTGTTCAAAAGGTATGGCGAATTTTGTGTTTTTTTAAAAATTATTTATTTATTCATGACTATTGAATAAAATAATTCGAAGTGGTCTGTATTCTGTATGGTAACGTGCCTACCACGTTGAGGTGAGCTACGCCGGGATTCGTTTCAGCAAGTTCAAGCAGTTCAAAAAATCATTTTTTGTGATCTTGTTCAGCTTCTCCTTCTTGGCGTCTTTATCTCTTCAATCGTAGCGCAGCATCGTCCTTTCATGGGTCTCTTCAATTTCGGGTAGAAGGAAAAGTTACAGGGAGGCAGATCTGGGGAAGACGGTGGCTGCGGCATTATTAGTATGTTGTTTTTGGCAAAAAATTCACGCCCAATGAACGATGTGTGAGCAAGGGCGTTATCATAGTGCAAAAGCCAATTTTTGTTCTTCCACAAATCCGAGAGTTTTTGGCGGATTGCTTCGCGCAACTTGTAGGTAATATTCCTTATTGACCATTATATCCTGTGGCAACAACTCATGATGTACCACTCCCCTGCAATCGAAGAAAACTGTAAGCAGAGCCTCAAGGGATGATTGAGCTTTGGTTTCCCCGTCATAACCATAAACCCATGATTCGTCACCAACAGCTACTTAATGATGTTATTACGATGCTGTTTTTAGTCGAAATTGAGCAATTTTGGTACAAATTTCGCGGCGAACCGTCTCATGGCCAAATCATTGGTAAAAATCGAATGGCAAGAGCCAATCGATATGTTTAGGTCCTCAGCAAATTTTCTAATGGTGATTCGACGATTGGCCAATACTATTTTCTTCACTTCATCAATGTTTTCGTCTGTTGTTGATGTGTTTGGGCATCCAGCACAATCTACGTTGTTTACATCTTGTAGGCCCTGTGAGAACATTTTATACCACCGATAAACATTGCTTCCTTCATTCCAAGGTACCTTCACCATATGCCACAGTGAAAATTTAGAATGCGTTCGCGCACTTAATTTTGTTGTTCAAACTAAATTTAATGCAGATTTTTTGATTCATTTTTTGTAATAGGCAAAAATCGAAAACGAACATAGCGCCACAAAAAAACAATAGAAAATCGAATATACGTAACCCGTGGAAATACTTTTTGGACAGACCTCATACATATGTATGCCAGTCCCATTGGACTCCTGGAAAACTTATGGTGTCTTGGTAGAAAAAGAAGTCACTGCTAAAGCTTAAAATTAGCTTAGAATAATTACAATTTTCTCATCTTATATTAATCGTTAATTAATAGTTTCTATTGTTACTTTTGAATGCCTACCATAAAAGGAATGGAGTCGAAGTAAGTGTCAACCGTGGTAAATTTTTCGTTCTAGTATCGTTTCTTCTATTGTGTAAATTTTTGGTACGAGAAACAGAACAATTATTTCATTAGCTACAGTCCTCCTCAGTATGTATTGTTTTAAACATGACCAGGTATACTGGCATGATAAGTTCGTAAGTTATAACAAGTGTAACAATTGTGCAGTTATGACGGAAATTGTCGTGTTAATTTGTAAAAATCTTAAGCATTCAATTCACACTTTTTATGATCAGTATATGACATGACGGATGTAAAAAAAATGTCAAACGAGAGTAATGCTTTCCATGAAGGTAGTGTAACTGAGTTGCGTTTAAAAAGGCGTCAGGTACTTTTGGATTTAAGAAACATGTTTTGTGTTTATATGTTTTAATTGCATTGTTTTTCAGCATGCAGCCGACTACGATCACACCGAGTCGCTTCTTCAAAACTGTATTAGAACTGAAGAAAATGATATTTGGAACCAGGAAAAGAACAGAAAATCAATAGGCGATGATGAAACTAATATTAAGAGATTGTTTACCATAGAGGAAGTTCCTGAATTTATTAGACACAATCCCTACATTTTATCCGGGTATAGGGGAATTTTGAATGCCAAATCTTGCATTGAAAGTATTTTTTGGTGGACAAACGAAACGATAAACATTTGGTCTCATATATTTGGATATTGTTTATTTGTTGCGTTAACCATAAACGATTTAATAGTTTTACGTATAGATGCGCCCTTCTTAGATAAATTTATGGTTGCCATGTTGCTCTTTTCATTCCAGGTACAATTATTACAGGACGAGAAAGGGGTTAATTAACTAAATGCACATTGTTTTAGACCACCATGATCGTATCAGTTTTGTACCATACGTTCTCATGCCGGTCTGAAGAAGACATGGCCAGTTTCTTGTGTTTCGACCTTTTAGGAATTGCTTTATCATTGCTATCGATTTATACGTCAGGAGTCTATTACGCCTTTTGGTGTCACCAGGTACTTACCTATTCGTAATGAACCCATACTATGACAAAAACATGTGCTTTTTGTAGGGCCTGCGACAATTTTATTTGCTAACCGTGACCCTTATATTTATATTAGCCATGTCCTTGCAAATACCAAGTTTTAATGTCGACACCAATATAAAGATGGCAACGTTCGTTAGCTGGGCAGCTTACGGGGTCATACCAACTTTGCATTGGACAATTAGTATGGGGGGGTTGGAGAATCCTATGGTCCGAGTAAGTTAAAGCATTCTATTGTTCATAATAATGTGGTAGAGATACATAGATTAAAAACATTACGTATACAAGATGCATTCACATATACTTGAGACGATCAAAATTGGCGTAGTTCGCAATCAATTATATGTGATCTTCTTTCTTATTCTTGTTTGGGATTGTAGTGATTTGCTACGTTCTGAACACGCCCTTGTCAAGTTAAGAAATGCTTCATGAGTAGTACAAATAAAGTGAAAAGAGATAACCGAATAACAGTAAGCGGTGCAGCGGTTAGGTACGAAAAAAAAAAAAAAAAGAGGATCGGCTTTATAACTGCCTGGTTGAAATTATATCTTTAACCAAGTGTCTTTGCTTTCCTAAATTCCTGAGAATGTTGAACTTCCTTTGAAGTCCGATACTGGCAACATTCTACTTGTCTGCATCTCTTTCTGTTACACATCGATTGGTGTAGTGTTATTCCTTTTTCTTTATTAGTGACCGCTGCAATTCACACCTGGCATCTCTTTTATATGTTTACGATATACTCTGCAACGCCTGTCGTGATTAAATGTAGACGTTCTCAGTCAGCAACCGCTCTAGTTTAATTAGTAGTACATAAGTTGAAAGAAGAAGATAAATGCCACAGTTTTATTGCGGACTATGGCAGTTTTGAACCCAAATTTATTACTCTATTTATACATATATATAAATTTTACAAACTACATTTATTCTTTTCGCTTTTCTGCTATTTTCATCCTCTATAATATTCCTCTCATCCTTTTTAGTCAATCCTTTCTTTCCACTTGAATTTCCCATTTTTTGGTACCGTTTCCTGTTATCCCACACCTCTCAAAAATTTGATTCAGCTTCTCTGGTTCCAGTTGACATAGTCTGCATATTTTCAACCCTTCTTCCTCCTAGTACCTTGCTGTCCTATTCTCATTTCCCAGTGTAAATATAGCTGTTAAAACTAATTCGTTTTTACTCTTTCCATATTTTCTTGTATTGGTGTAAGGTTTTGGTTCTTCATAACGTCAGGGTATTTTTATCATGTTTTGTGGTTATGGGGGACCATTAAGGATACCATTTTTTGAGTCAACTGAAATGGTTTCTCTTTTAGTTATTTCTTCCACGAGTTATTGGAATGTACACGATAAGTGGGACCGCATTTTTGATTTATATTACGAAACTTCCTGAACGATTTTTCGCGGGAAAATTCGATTTTTTAGGACATTCCCACCAGTGGTGGCACATGCTGGTTGTACTAGCCTTGTACTATTGGCATTCCACCGGAATGATGTACGTCGAATACAGAATGAACCACACATGTGTAGATAATTTTAATTACATTTCTTATGAAGCGTAAAAAATTACGAATTAAATTTGTGTTAATTAAAATTAACTTCTCTTTCCCAAAAATATTTATCTGGTACGTATAACTTTTGGTAATGGTATCGGAAGGCAGTAATCACTCTCAAATATATTCTTCTCTGTACCAGTCTATGTCTATTGTTCGATAACTGTTTAATTGTTACAATGTACCATTTGTACCTACCATTTTTTCTGTGATATGGTTTTTTTATGAGTTTCACAATAAAATATTTCTTCGTTTGTTTATTTTATTTTGTTATTTTGTAAGTTTCACGATGAAATCACTGCGATTGCTTTTGTTTGGTGTATTTATTTCTTACTTTAATTTGATGCTAAATCANCCCTTAACGCTTCAATTTTCAATCGGTAACTTCAAATGAATTTTCATCTTTTTATGACTCGAAATTTCTTCATCTTTTAAATTTATTTTCCTTTTTTTCTTTCGTAATATTACAATTTCTTTTTGGTAAATAAAAATAGTTTTTAATTTCGATGGAATTTATACATGCGTTTTTCAAAGTCGTAATAATTATTCTCAAGGAAAAGTTCGAACTTATTCAACGTTAAAACAATGAAAATATTGCGACTGATTTTATGTCACAGCATTGAAGGGACAAGAGTTACATAAAAAAGTTTTATGCTAATAAATTTGTTATTAATGTTAAACCAATCATGTAACAGCTTGGAATTTTATCAGGTTTTTCTAAATAGTATGATTTTATCGTTAGTAACTAGTTTAGTAAATTGCATATGTACTTGTGAATTTTCTGCCATTTATATTGATTATTTGCAACTTGAAAATATTTGTTTATTTCTCAAATATCGTGTTCAGAATTACATATTTATATAGAAAAAATTGTAGGCATATTAGTGATAAACAATTTTCTTATTCTTATTTGAAATTGTTCCCACAGAACACAATTAACCAAATAAATATTAAATGCAGCGGATTCTGTAGATCGTGTTTACTAAAATTTTGAATTCACAAGAAAGATAATTTTTTATTGTACTAATTCTGCAGTGGTATTAGTGATACATTTGTTCATCTTTAATCCATCCAATCCAATAAAATCCATTAACGTTTAACATTTCAGAAATCGAAAATATTCTGACATGACTGTATCATTAGCTGCTAAAACAGAAGTCCAAAAAAGCGATGATAATGAAAATGTGGATTGCTGTATTGACAGGGTAAGAGGTTACTGGTATTTTCCTCTTTGTTAATTTCTACATTAAGTAACAATTAACAGTACAGAATTGTTAAATACTTCTATTTTGGTTGTAATATATTTATAATTACTTTATTAACCAATTATAAATACTTATTTTGATTTCTATGCGGAATCGTTGTGCAATTTTATACTTCCTGAAACATCTACTGACACAAAAACCAACAACTTACTTCCTTGTTATTATGTCTTTAAAATTATACCTCATCAGCATTGGCGCATCATGTAACACAAACGCACTACGTATGCATGTTATAAATGTACGCAATGTCTACATATGTAGTTATTTACAGAGCGATGCATTTTTCCTAAAATATATGTTAGTTTAGTTTAACAATATTCGTTAGAAAATTCGATCAATACTTTAAATCAATTGAGAATTCTAGTTCTACTTTCCATTATCATCATCTATAAGGTCGCCAGTTCTAAGATTCGTTGGATACGCACCTCCACTTTTCCCTATCTTGAGCTAATCTTCGCATTTCCCAAAAATTAGAACAACCCACATCCTTAACTATTTGCGAACAGTAATCTAATCTAGGTCTACCTCAACCCCTCCTAACTCTCGTTTATGCCTCTAATATGTCTCTGACTAGACCTTTATGCCTGAGAAGGTGTCCTATTGTATCCCGCCTATTTCTTATTGACTTCCTCAGAGTCCTCTGTTTTCCTATTCTTCCTAATATCTCTTCATTTCTAACCTTCTCTATCCACGGTATCCTCATCATTCGCCTGTAACACCACAATTCGAACACTTCTAACATTTTCTTTTCCGCCGCGCCCATCTTCCATGTTTCGCATCCGTACAGTGCCGCGTTCCAAACATACACTTTTAACAATAGTTTTCGAATTTCTAAATTAATCGTTCGCGAGCATAGAAGTGACTTCTTTTTATTGAAGGCGACTCGACCCTGCGCTATCCTCTGCTTTATATCCCTACTACTCCTTCCGTCCTGACTTATCTGACTTCCTAGATACCTAAAATCAGCCACTTCTTCTAATT